TCACTTGCGACAAGATGGAGCTATTCCCTCACTTTTTTTTCTCAATTGGAAATGGCTGAATGATAGACTTTCTGCCGGATGGACTGGCCGAAAAGAATTCCATGGAATGGCCACCACGATCACCCGACTTATCGCCTCGATATTTGGAAGGTCGGAAAAGAACAATAACAGCTTCATCTAGAGAACGTCAGGCAGAAGTTTTTCGGAATATTATAGTTTCTAAAACAACTTTGACATATGTCGTGAATGTTAACAAGGCAAGTGCAAAAGTACTACTATCCATCTTAATTGCTTTTGAAAATCGGTTCGGAAATCGAAATATTTCCATAAAGTCAATGATAAATTACTTATTTTAATGTAGTTAACAGAATTGAAGACTGAAATATAAACATCTGAGGGTTAGGTTATGTCCAAAATGAGTGGGTCTATTCGACTCTCCACCACAACCCGCAAGGGTTTTTTGTGGCTCACACCTATTCACACTCGACCAAATGAACCCAGCTCCTTAACGAAGCCGATTAGTTTGTATGGTGAGTGGTCTTTCAGGTCAGATGGTAGAAGTATGGCTCTGCCGAACCCTAAAAACCTGATTCGGTCCCCAGCGGGGCAGGCACAAAGTACATGTTTTGTTGTTTCATCATTTTCCAAACAGAGGCAACACACACTGTCTTCCGACAGTGCGAGTCTCTGCATATTATGATTCAAATGACAGTGACCTGTAAGAAGGCCTGTTAAACACCGTAGTTCATCCCTACTGTGGTCAAACAACTGTTTGGTATCAAGATTCAAAGGGTGAATAAACACCTTGGAGTGAGTCAATCCTGGAAGATTCTGCTTGAAGTCCATAATTCTTCTGGCTATCCAGGTGTTCACTCTTTATTTGGCAAAGCCCAAAGCGATGCGAATGACAGGTTCTGGTCCGATGAAGCTGCTTGCAGCACCCTCCTTTGCAAGGGAATCAGCATCCTCATTGCTTTCCAGGCCAGCATGGTCAGGAATCCAGGCTACCAATTTAGACGTTTCTCGGTAGGAGCCAAGAGCTTCCAACGCTGCTTGACTGTCCGAAAATATTTTTTTGACTTGCGTATGAGGTTGGATTCTTCCATTCTCTCCGCACACAATTCAATAGCGTAAATTTTCGCTTGAAGTACAGTCGCATGAGTTCCTAGGCAGGTTAATATCTCTGTCCTGGGTCTGCGACCGAAAACACCTGCACCAGAGCCGGAAGGTGTTTTTGATCCATCTGTGAACCAACAAATATCTGCTCTTAATATTTCCTTCTCCCGGAAGATCCAGTCCTCTCTACTCGGAAACAGTAATTTATATGGCAGTTCGTAGTTGACAGTTGGAGGTATAAAGTCAGAGGTCATTTCCATTTTCCAATGGATTTATTTGGGACTTAAACCACAAGTTTTATCACAAATCCTTCGACATGTCCATGGGGACAATCTAACATCTAAGGGACAATAAAACTGTCCTCCGAGAGCAATTTCGCCATACTTACTATGAATCGAGTACACTGAAATTATTTATTATTGATTTTGAAAATGGATATGGAGATATGGCACACTTCCAAGGTAGAAGCACGCTTCAGAACCATTGAAACGAAAAAAATTTGGTTCTTTAAAGGATTTCAAATCATTTTATATATCATTAGACAATGGAAGTCCGAACTAATGAAAAAACAAACTGTTCAGCATAGCCCCTTCTTTTACTCACGCACTCAATTTTTTAGTCTATTTTGAAGAATATTGAGAGAAGCGAATAACTTTTCTTTTGATTTCTTTATCAATTCAACCCACACTCCAGTGGGTTCAATTGTCAATTATGTCTTTACCTTTGGTATTATCTTGTTTGTGACAAATTTTCAGCTACACATTTACATTTTTCCGGTCATACATGCGCTCGATATACTCTAACCAAGTATTTTTTAAAATTTTTCAGAAGTTGTCTATCAAACCTCGGTCAAAACAGTGACTTTCCGTTTATAAATGAATATACAAACTCAAAGATTCTCCTTCATGAATATCTAGGACACAACATACTCATCGAAAAGAGGTTGAAATATGACACCACCATACTTAAGACGTGTTACCTAATATTCAGTTATGTATTCAAAGTGTACTCTGTTGATTTCTATTGTACCAACAAGCCAAATTAGTCTCAATTTATTGTTACACACGGTCGCGTTGAATTTTGATGTAAAACACCCAAGGCCAATACAGTAAACAAAGAAAATTGCTATGAAAACGATAACCTACATAATCAATATCACTACGAGTATTGATAATTACAACATCCTGCTGAACCACTTGTGCTCATACCGGTTCCGTTTTGATGAATTTCAATGGTTCATTCTGAGGTAGAGTGAAAATCCCGGAAAGTGAATAGGAAAACACTTTTTTTACATAAAAATTTCCACCTTGTGGTATCCAGTGGCGTAGAAAGAGTGAGGCGGCGGGGGCGGGCCGCACCTTTTTTGGGGTGACACCAGCCTGGTGACTCAGTTTTAAGAACAATATACAACCATTGAAAAATATCGCTAGTACAGCTTTCTTCTTCGGAGATTCCTTCTCAAGCACTAGCTCAGCATTATGTATAATTCGGGGTTTCCCCCAAGAGCGGACGACAGTGTCGTGTGGGGTTCCCCTTTATTGTTTTTAAATTTTGATGGGGTGGCACCACCAACTTCTTCACCGGGTGCCACCCAAGGTAGCTACGCCACTGGTGCTATCAAAGTTTGTAAAGATAAAGGCCACAAAACTGATGTAAAGAAATTTTACGAACCATAAAGTCTCATAACGTATAAGTAGAAAAAGTTGAACTTTATATCACGATTTCAGAACAAGACATTTTGACAACTGTCTGTGAGTGTTATAATCAAAAACAGAAATTAGATAGTTCAGAAAAATTAAAAAATGTTGAATCATCTCTATTAAGAACCTAATTTTTCGAAAATGAATATGAAAATAAAAGAAAATTGTGCTAAACACAAATATGCAAAATACAGAAATCTGTAAAATACGGAATCATTAGTTGAGTGAGTAAACATAGCATCAAAAATGAAAAAATGTTGAAGGCAAAATGAAGACACACTATATTTTTTTTATTTATTTATTTCATACACTATTCTACAGGATGAACCCAATTACAGAGTAGGGAGAAATATGTACTTACATAATATTATTTGTGAATCCATATAAAAAAATTGAAAACAGAACTGTCAGTTAGCTAAGAAATGTATTGATTTGTATAATCTGACAGTTGAATATATATGGAACACGACTAACAGAATTAGAGGTATCGCACATTGCATAAATTGGGGATTTCTTCATTATATTTGTTCGGGGAGTGTTGATATAAAAGGTGACATTATTCCTAGATGACCGCCTAGGAACCCAACATATGTAACAATTGAGAGCAGGTAATGATATTGTTTACGATTTTGAATAAAAAAGAAATGTGTCTCTCAAGCAATTCATAATAGGGTATTCCTACAGTAGGATACGTGCCTTCAAGTTTAAAAGACAAAGGTATATTTTAGGAAGTGCCTCTGTAGGGCTTCTAGTTGATTTATATGAACCTGATAGTAGGGACTTCACACGACAGATGCATATTCCAGCTTAGATCGAACAAAAGTGGAATAAAGTAATTTCCATGTTGAAGCTTTTTCGAAGTCTTTTGTATTTCTAACTAAGAATCCATACATGCGATAAGCAGCTGTCAGAGTAGTGTCAATATGTTTATTGAAAGAGAGAAATGAATCAAAAGTAACACCTAGATGAGTGAGTGTGTCAGGACGCTCCAGAACTTGATTGTTTATGATGTAGTTGTTTGATCTCAGATTCGTTTTCAGTGAGTAGGACATTACATAATATTTGGATATGTGGAAAGATAGATTATTCTTCTGACACCATGTTTCAACACGATTTAAATTCAGGGTGAGACGTTTGCAATCATTCACAACATGTTATATTGCAGTAGAGTTTCAAGTAATCTGCGTATAAAAGGAAATTGACATCAATCTCAGCTCCGATATCATTGATGAACATATTGAACAGTAGGGTTCCTAGGTTTGACCCTTGTGGTACACCAGATGTGGCTACATATTCGACAGACTTGAGGCCATTGAGTTGGACATACTGCTTACGGTTGTAAAAATACGATTTGAAGATAGTAAATAAGTCTCATTTAAAGAAAGTATTTGTTGTAGATGTTGTGTTATTTGTTGTATATAGTTGTTGGTGTTGTGGTAAAGGTTGAGGTTATTGTTAAGTTTTATTGATCTGGCAAAATTGACTATGATTTANCACACTCTCATAGAACATGTAGGTACGCTTATACACATCAAATTAATCTTTGTCGATTGTTAGAACTATACTTATCACCTCAACCATTTACAACATTATTTGTTGAAACTACTATTTGGTAACTTCGATGGTATTTTATGATATATTTCTATTCACGAGTATTCACATAGAACTGTCAGTTGATTCGATTTTGCATTGCGTTTTTGACGGTATAGGAACTTACAATGGTTCATCACACAGATTATAATCTGGAAATAATTATTTCACTTTCACCGAATTTGGAGTTTCCGCCAGAAAAAGCAATTGAAAATATTTTAGGCCAACTATTTACTCGCGCATTCAAATCACGGAGATTGGAAAACAATGAAACCAGACCCGATAATAAATATTTGATTTGATTGTTATTCCGGATATATAATAGTGAGCAACCCCCAAGAAGGAAAAAAATCAATAAAAAACCACTTCTGTCCAGACATAATACATAGACAAAAGATCATTATCAGAAAATACGATGAAAAATGACTCAGTAGTGAACGACAGTAGTGGAAATCATGAATACAATTATTATTCCAAAGCTGATTGTATATTCATTGATTTCAGTTTTTGCACTCGTCTGTATTGAATATATTGACAAACTGAATTAGCAGATACCGATAAATGTAGTTTAACAGTGTGTTTTCTTGTCGACAGTTACCAAAATGGGTTTGGGAGGAAAGCAGGAGCAGGAATATATTTTTCAAGTGCCTGAAGTCGAGAAGAAGCGAGCATTAGAGGAATTGAGGGAAGATGACGGTATCAGGGAACAGTCATTAGAGCAAATGAGAGAATGGATTGCCAAACACCCGAATATTAAAAGATGCAGAACAGGTATTTAACTTTAGTTACTCAAATAGAAAGCCAAAAAGCTATTCCCAAAACTGAACTTTCCTGAAAATATTCACTTTTCAATTCAGATGATATTAATAATGATACCAAGCAATAACGAAACTCGCAAGAGTTTGCTAATCTCGGAACAGGTGATTTTTTGAAATGTATATGTTACGGGCATTTTGATAAGTCCGGGCACTATTAATAATGACCGGTCTGTATTCATAATGCCCGACTCTATTGNCCATTATCACTATGCAAAATGAATGGAGCTCCAAATATTGTGAAGATATCCAGCAAATGATATGCGACTTCTTCGGCTCGTTTTGTTTTTAATGGTCTAAGAATCACAAACTTGGTGAGGTGATCTTGATACACCACGATGAACTTGAAATCATTGTCTGCTTGTGTTTGCATATCGATTGAGTCGACTCAGCATCGTGAGTTAAATTCACTACTTTTTATAGGCTTAACCACTAGCCCTTTTTTTGAAACACTTGATTTTTTTTGACATGGTCCACACAAAGCCAAATACAACACCACACACTCTTTAGTAATATTTTGTACTTCGGTTTGAGCTCTTTCATCATCCTATTTCTACGTCCATGTCCGATAGAAATGTGATTTCGTGAATAATATCAAATGTTTCTTCCAAATAACAGTAATATTGAATTGGTTTTCTGTCATTTTTCACTGGTACGATTAATTTTTGAACTGTTCCGATCTTCACTATGTCATACCTCGACAATCGCTGATATTCCTCCGGAGTTTTGCCTGCGATCTGGTCTTTTGTCACTCTCACTTTAGTTAAAAATGAACGATACTCATCGCGAGAAAATTACTGCGTGTTTTTCTCCTTCGTTAATTTCAATTTATGAATTAGTTCGCGAACTAATACGTCGCAGCGTGCGCACGCGACCCTCCCCCTGCATGTACGTGCCCCTCGTATGTTGCGAGGCACGGCCGCAGTCCAATTTATCACAATGCCCGGTCCAAGTGATAAATTCAAGCTATCTCAAACACTGACTTATTACATGGACCACGGGCCGTCGAGCATTATTGATAATGGCCGGTCAAAGTGATAAATTAATGACTTTGCCCATGGCTCTTGGGCATTATTAATAATGGCCGGTCCTCATTGATAATGCCCAGTTAATCACGTTGCTCGTAACATATATTCTACTACCAAACGTGAAGCAAATAACTTTATACTTGAACCTAATATATATTACAATACTTGGAATGCACATAGACCGGGTAGTAGTTTCCAATAGCGTGGAAAGTAAACAAAATGATAGTGTTTTCAGTTATTCCCTGTTCGTTTTCCATAATTCCGCAAATAATTCCTAAACTATTGACCTAAAGAGAAAATTCATAGACTTTTTGAGCCAACAAAAAAACAATGAAGCATCCTACACCATCTGGATGCCGGAGAGACGTATACTTACCTCGGGGTGGAACTACGTCACTCATAAGAGGTAACTGCAGTGAAAAACTCTCTCCGCGGCAAGTATCAGCACAAACTTCGACTGATCTGGTCATCGGAGCTGTCGCGAAGAACAAATTTGCTGCAACAAATATGCTTGCCGTTCCAATCTTACTCTACTCGTTTGGAGTAGTGAAGTGGACTCGGGAGGAGCTGTATCAACTCGACGTAAGGACCCGAAAAATGATGCNTATATTATAGTCGTTCATCTATAGTATAGAATAATTGTGTAACACATATATACATATACAGACATATATACATATATTCACCCAAATACACAAATAACAGACAAATCATAAAGGATTTACAAATACTTATTATAGTGCCTGATCGACTTTATAATAGCATCTTTCAATTAAAAAATGTTTAAGACTTTTTTTAAAACATGTTAAGGTTCGACTCTCTCTTACATAGTCTGGTAATTTATTAAATAATAAAGGACCTAATGAGTTTGGAGAGTTTTTAGTTAATTGGACCCTAGAAAAGGGTATATTCAGCTGATTTTTTATTCTTGTGTCATGTTTATGAATGCTAGATCTGGTTGAAAAACTGTTATAGTTACTAAATATATACACACAAACTTCAAAGATAAAGAGTGATGGTAGCGTCATGATTTTACAACACAGTTTTGTCGAAAGGATAGACTAAACATTACTTGGAGTATTCTCTTTTGTGCAACAAATACATCATTAGCTCTCGAAGACCTTTCCCAGAGGGAGATGGCATATCGAAGTCTGGAGTCCACTTGGGCATAGTAGAGCATGAGGAACTGATCATCTGACAGAACTGATCTCAAATTACGTAATTGATAGGAAACAGAATTCAATTTATTGTTTAAGATTTTACAGTGTCAATTCATGAGAATCCGAAATTTCTCAAATATTTCGTAAGTTTTACGAATATGGGAAAAATTTGGACTATTTTTCTGAAACTCTTTGAACCAAAAGCGACCCTTTTTATATATTCACTGAAATTATAACGAAATTTGGGCTGCTAGGCCGTGGTTGAATGGAACCTGAAATACTAAACGTTTCGTGTGCTACTGCGACAGACATCATCAGGGGTATGTGCGTTGACTGCGAGGTATGATATTGATATTGCCTGCATTATCGAAGTCACAGAAAACCTGTAAACATGTTTGAATTCTGTACAGAAAAGAGTTATCCCTCGGGTTGGATGTCCTCGTTCATCTTTCACTGCTTGAACCACTGTGCATGCTGTTTTTGGCAAGTGCATTTTCTTGGGATGTGGGGGTTGAACAAACCGGCCATCGGATGCCTGCTTCCACGTAGCCCCGCTGGATACAGGAATGACAGAATCACTTGTGGTTTTGTTATTCCCTAACTGAATGTCATCCCAACGATGGCTTAATCCTAAGGTGTGTGTCTCCGTGCCGGGAGGATGAATGACACTGAGCCTATCAGCTGTCTTTACAGAACCTTCGAGATATCGGGCACCCTCTCGTCGTAGCATCGCCTTGTCACGGTAATGCGGGGCTATGCCGTGATTGACCTTCTTTCCTTAGCTACTCGTGGGACTTTTATGGACAGAGAAAACTTCTGACGCTGAGTCTACAGAGGAGATGGATGTCGAGTTTACGACTCCAACTAACCTCCCTGTAAATTTGGTTCAGAAGCGAGAGCTTCTCAATTCCCCAACTCCTGATCCAATAACTGAATCTTGAAAGAAGGTTTGGTGGTGCAGCCAGGAAACGACTGAATCGTCTCCCCAAGAGCGGGGTACCTTATAAAACCGCCTTGCACCAAATTCTTGAGCAGCGTACGCAGAATCTGTCTCAGGTGGAGGAACAAACCCCCCATGAGCAGCTTAGCAAACGTTTGCGCTCAAGTTATGATTCACCAAAACCAGAAGTGAAAAAGCCCTGCACGATCAGGTGTAGCTGATGTGCAAAAACCCTCATATGGGAAGGTTATCGCGGGTATCAAGATGGGAATCTTGCACCTTGACTATTCGACTACCTCATTAAAGATGAAACAGCATAGCATATACTTTGTGCCTGCCCCGCTGGGGACCGAATCAGGTTTTTAGAGTTCGGCAGAGCCGTACTCTTACTATCTAACCTGAAAGACCACTAACAATACAAATTAATCGGCTTTGTTGAGAAGCTGGGTTTATTTGGTCGAGTGTGAATATGTGTGAGCCACAATGAACCGTTGCGGGTTGCGTTGAGGGTCGAATAGATCCACTCACTTTGGACCTAACCTAACATAACCTATCCCTCCTTTGTATAGATTCCCAATAAAACCTGAATCTCTACATTTCATTATGAAATTAAAGCCTTCAATTGAGTATATTGATTGAATTGAGAAAAGTATATTTCAGGAGAGATTAATTTTTGGGAAAAATGTGTAGATTATGCAAAGAAGTCAGTTTCAATCTCAAACTGGAAGAAAAGTCCCTCTCGAAACAATTACTTCCAAATGAACATTGAATTATACAAAAAAAAATCCTATTCAGTTTCTACTCCAAACATTCATTATGAAATTGAATCAGATATCATTCACAGGATTGCTACACAATAAAGTATACGAAAGAGGTAAAATTTCACTTACATTGAGGGTAACAGTGTTCCGTGTAAATTAAATTTTATCTCTTTCATAAACTATACTGTGTGGCAATTCAGTGAGTCATATCTGATTCAATTCCATAATGAATATTTGGAGTACAAACTGAGTAGGAAAAACTGTTTTTATGTAATTCAAGGTTCATATGTAAGTAGTTTTTCCGAAAGGATTTTTTCTTTCGTGTAAATCAATGTTTATATGAAAGTAGTTGTTTTGAGATGGCTTTTTCTTTCAGTTCAGTTCTTTCAGTTAATTGCTTCTCTCATTTTTTGTATAAAGATGAAGAAGTTGAAAGTCGAAACCTTTCGTCCCGAAAAAGTATATTGATATTTGAAATATAAGAGTTGATTTGAATGTTTTGAGAAGACACCGTTGAACGGTAGATAAATATTTATATTTTGTCTGAATTGCATTTTTTTTTTGAATATTTCCAAGTTTATTGTCTAGTAAATCACACCGTATATAATGTTTTCAATAGTTAATTAACTCCTTTCCCAATATGAACATACTCTGTTGGTATTTCCTTTCAAATTTATTGAGTAAATATTATTTTCATAATGGGCATGTCTGAGACGACTGTTGAAAAATGAAAATACAATCAGTGTGACGGTGAAAACAATATAATCTTCATTGTGGACTATTGGAGGAGTTTTTTGTCTATCATTAAAATAACTGAAATGACATTCATCACATATATTCAGAATAGACTCAACTATAAAATGATAACTTGCCTTGATGATTTCCAAAAGGTATACTCTGCCAAAAGTTGTATTGCATCAATTTATTTATGTAAATAATGAAAAAATAATGAAAAAATATTCAATTAGACCAGAGATATTCCTTGAAATGTCTACTTTTCATTTCTTTGTTAATACATTAGGAAAATTAGTCTGTCAGAAAAACTCTATTGAGTAGTAAGAAAAATGTTTGTTTATTACGTTCTTGAATTTTGAGAAGTGAATATCCTTCAGATGATTTGATTTAATTTCATATAAAAATGAATTCAAAAAGAAATTGAAAATCTCACTTCAGTCACCATAGATTTGCTTTCAAGACGGACCTGTATATGATGATTATTTACGCTATGGTTACCAATAATGTGAAAAATATCATTGAGTAATTTAGGCACTGATTGATTTCAACTTTTATACTTCATAATTACGTTAGTATAAATTGTTCTGAAATAAGTAGATTGATAATTTTTAGTATTTTTGATTCTATATTCGTTAATTCTCAGATATTTCTTGTACAGTTTTCTCTGATTTATTTATTTTTTTGCAAGATTGATTTGAAAAGCAGCCTAGGCTGATACTTCACCTTTTCGTCGACACATAATTATTGTTCTGAAATTTTGTATTTCATTTTGATCATATTGATGAATGAAGACGATTATTATCATTATTATTATTATATACTGAAATTATTTAAAAATTTCAACTGTACTCAAGACGTTCTCTCTCCAATGACGAGCCACAAAAATAGAGAATCAAAAATATTTCTGGAGATTTACATACCTACTTAAACCAAGAAAATACAAATATTCAATTATAATTGAAACTTCTTTGTATATTATGAAATATTCTATGTGGTTTGTTCCAAAGGATATAAAGGGAATATTCTCAATTAATATTCTCTTTCGTTTTATATAACGGTCCTTGAGAAATATCAGTGATACAATGTAAGCTATAATTGGCTGTCAGACAATAAATAATAATATTATTTCTTTAAATCTGAAAGTGATTACGTGGTCTTGAAGAAATTCATTTTAATACGAATGGATATCTGGCATATAAATATTAATTCATTTTTGACGAATGGGTAGTTTAGTCGTAATCGATGATGAGATAATATCAAATATTCTTTTCAATTCTATCTATCAACAGTTACTGACTAAAAATTGCCATTTGTAGAGTAAAATCAGAAAAAATTAATATGTGAATAGTTTATGGTTCAATGAAACTCGTTAATGTTTTTCCAACAGAACAAGAAGAAAAATCAGTAATTCATTAGTGCTCGCGTAATTTGATCTTTGAAATAATAAGCACAATCAATATACGTTTTGTCTGAATATTATTTTGAGGAGTATATGAGTTATTCCTCGGTGTTGGGAATCACACGTTAAAAGATAAAACCTCGTTAGTTCTTAGCTTGCACAACTTTCTCAACTTCTGAGAGTTGTCGTTCGTATGGGGGCGACAGCTGATTAACGGAAAAACAGATTGTAAACAGATTTTTTTTAACAAATATTTATGGATTTAAACTCCCTTGCAGTCAAAAAACTTTCCAAATTTATTCATATGAAAAGGGAAACTCACTGAGTTTATCCAGAAACGTTACTGCATTTGTATAAAAATTCAGATAAGGATTTATCCAATTCATCGGTAACATTTTTTCATATTAATTCCGCTCGAATACATCAAAGAACAAAATACGCTGTCTGTTCAAAAAACATAGTAAATTTTCATTTTTCTCAAAAATGTTTTATTTATTTCTACTTTCTTCCCTTCAAATTAGTTCCCCTCAGATATAATCAGATATAATACACTTGTGTCAGCTTTTTTTCCACTCCTCGAAGCAGTGTTTCTTTGGCATGTTCTTGAGCGATTCTCTCTCATCGATTCGGTTATGAATTCCTCAGTCGCTTTCATGGGTTTCTTCGATATTGGAAAAAAAAGTCGCAAGGAGCGAAATCTGGTGAATACGGTGTTCGAGGAAAAAAAAAGTCGCAGGGAGCGAAATCTGGTGAATACGGTGGTCGAGGCATGATTACGATGTTGTTTTTGGCTAAAAATTACGAATAAGCAATGATGATTAAGCAGGTGCATTAACGCCATTATAATGGCGATGCCATGAATTCTTTCATATCTTGTGGACGTTCTGTGAAAAGCTTGAACCACTTGTAAACATTTTTCTGATTCAGAGTACAATCATCGTATGCCACTGTCAACATTTCAAATGTTCAAATCGCCGAATATGTAGAATACTTCTATAATGTATGCCTCTCACTAGCAAACTGAACATGCTGAATTTGTAAACATATGTTCGAGACGAGTGTAACATAAAAAAATTACTAATCGAATGTACCTAGTCCGCGAAAATTGAACATTCACATTATTGTTCACAATTTATAAATATCGAATTCAAAATTTTGAAAATTGATTAGTTCTAAAGAGATTTTCAATCCCAGGAGAGAAAATCCTTATAAAGCCCGGAATTTCTTTTATTTATCAGTATGACAACATAAGGAACGTATTTAAAAAACACTTTGTTGTGAGATTTTCACTAAACGATTTTACAAAAACGTAACACGTGTTTCGCAATACAATGGCTTCTTCGGGCATGTCTTTACTAACTAATTCTACATATTCAATGCTAAATACACCTCATTCTACAATTTGAAGTGCCTAAATTTCAAGAACCTGATTCTTACCTAAGTATGTAATGAATTACATCACCTGAGCTTATGTCCTAGTTTTCACATTTGAAAAAATATTTATTAATGGGGAGTTATTCAATTATAATTGATCATTCAGTAAATTTCCCGAATTCCTGATTCTATTGATTTCTAAACATTCCTCCTTCTAAAAGGTGGTTTGCAAAAGTGGAATTGGTCTTTTGATTTACAAAACTACTTCTGTGCTCTTTCATTCTTTGGGAAAATGTTCTCCCTGATTGGCCAATATAAAGTTTTGGGAAGGAGCCACAAGTCAGCTTATATACTCCCAAGCAGTTTTGATGGTTTGAAACGTATTGAAAGGGTCAAAAAGCTCGAAAAGTGGGTGTCCCACGATTTAAACAAACCACAGAAATTGTTACGTTTTGATGTTTGTTCTTCTTTGCTCTTACGCAACCAAAACGACTCTTTTTTCTATCGCATTCTCACGTGTTATGAAAAGTGGATCCTCTACGACAACAGGAGACGTGGGCAGTGGTTGGACACCGATGAGTCACCCAGGCACTTACCAAAGGCGTAAACCCACCATAAAAGGTCATGGTTATTTTATGGTGGTGAGCAGCTGGTGTGATCCACTATAACTTTCTGCAACCAGGCCAAACCATCACAGCAGAGTCCTATAGTGAGGAAATCGACGAAATGTATCGATAAATGCTCTAGCAGCAACCAGTAATGGTCAACATAAGAGACCCAAAAATTAAACGAGTTGGGCGTCGTGGCGTTACTAAAATGTAACTCTTAAGATGAACCTAAATGACTAATATTTATGATTAGATAAGTGCATCAACTGTTCATGGGTCTTTGGTTACACTATTATACTTTACAGATGCGCCATTCCTCCTACGTTTCCTGCGCACCAAGAAATTCAGCGTTCCTCTCGCATGCGAGATGCTCGAAAGGTATCTCACCATCCGCAGACTCTACCCCCAATGGTTCCAAAACCTCGACAGCGAAGACAAGGATCTGGCCGACATCATCAACGCCGGCTATCTTGTTCCTCTCTTGGACAGGGATCAAGGAAGGATGGTGCTTTTCAGCTGCGCAGGCAACTTCGACCCCCACAAGTACACTTCTGCGCACATGGTGAAGATTCACAGCTTGGTTACTGAGGCTCTGATGGACGACGAGATCAACCAGATCAACGGGTACACGTACGTCAACGACGAAAGTGGGTTTACGATGTCGCACATTTCTCTGTGGTCGTTGACCGATGTCAGGAATATCCTCAGATGTATTCAGGTGAGTTTGGTATTTGTTTACGTAATGAGTAGTGTGTTGAATGCCATTTGGGAGAGAAGTGGTACTGTGGGAGTGGTTTCATTCTTTCCAGAACGCTGCGCGACCCTTTCTTCAACTGGAGATAGACCCAGACAAAGTCAAAGAACATACCCAGTGTCAATTCCGTGAAAAATGCATTTATTTTATTGGAGAGGTTGGAGTGTAAATTGAACCTATATTTAATGGAATACTGTTTATATAGCGCTTCTTAACTTTAAATTTGAATGAAACAAAGTGTGTGTGTGGTATCATCGACCTCTTTTATTCGTTTGAAAAACTTATTGATGACACATAAATCAGGCTGAATTTGTCCAATGGCATGGTTTATGTTGGCCTTGAGGGCCACTTATAGTGCTCGCCATTGACAGTGATGGTCTGGACAACGTTGTTCTCAAAGAAATATGGACCGATGAAGACGCAAGCCCAAAATCCACATCAAACAGTGACTTTTTCGGGATGCACTGGACGCTCCTGCATCTCATGTGGGTTGGTATCGTTCCAAATTCGACAATTTTGTTTGTTGGCGTACCAATTCATCCAAAAATGGAGGTAGATCCGGACAAAGAACAGATTCAGTTAATTCCAGGAAAAAACGCATTTTGTTTATTGAGAAGTCTAGAGTGTGAATTAAACCATCATTTAATAGAACACTTTTTATATTCTCAAAAGAAGGGAGATATATCATCACGATAATCGGGAGCAACAGTGTTAACATGCACATTTAGACGGGTATTTAGAAAGAAATGGAGCTGTAACCTAAAATGACCAAAAGGTCGTGAATACGGTTTCAACATTTAGTTGTCTGGAAATCACGGGGCGTATGTTTGTGTATCCCAATGCAGTTCTGAAGATTTTTCTGAATCTTCCATTTTTACTGGTTTGTGTAATGAAAGGAGCAGACTTTTGGTATTCACCAGAGAGCTAAAATAGAATCAGGCAATGGGCAAACACATGAATATCCTAGATCATACTTACTTGATAGATATCAGATATTGATGTTGTAGTCTAATCAGCAATGAAAAATGAATATGTAGCTCCTGAAAATATGAGCAATAACTCAGTTAATTCAAAATGAGCTACAGAAAATTGTATTTGGGGTATTTTCCAAAATAATCGAGGAAAAATGGGGTATTCTGTTCTTTTATCATTGACAATGAAACTACAATTATTCAAGGAATGAGACACACTTTTGGAGAGGAAAAAATTCCCCATGAAAAAGTCTCAGCTCCCGGAGATGTACCTTCATCATTATTTCTAACGCTGAAAATAGGGATCCGCCCCTCTTTTTACAACAGACGCGAATCCGCTGGAGAGGACGCATTACCGAAAATATTTTTAAAACGATGTGGGTGATAATCAACAAATTATTAGCGAATCTCTGCTCTTAAAAATAGTTGAATGAAAGTTTAAATAATGAACTTTTATACATTCAATGTATAAGTTTAAAAATGTCCAGCGACGCTCTCGTCTCTGTAACCCGTCATAATAGTAGTCGGCGTTTTTCTCTGCAAAATAATTGTTCACTAAAGTGATTGCCTCTTTATTTGACGAAAATATCTGTCCTGCGAACGCACTTTTTGGATGAGGTAACAAAAAGAAATCGCCCAGGGCTAGATCTGGTTAGTAAGACGGATGGTCAAACAGTTCAAACCGTAATTCTTGGATTTTCGCATGGCAATCGCTGAGTTTTTGACTTTTTTGGAACCGGTTTCCTTTTTTGCAGTCTACTAGTTGGACTGTATTTCTGTTTCGGGCGTATAATGGTGATTCCAAGTTTCATCTACAGTAATTAATCAGCGCCAAAACTCGGATTGACTGCGCCTAAATTGCGCCAACAGAGCGTTGAAAATGTTTATTCGAACACGTTTCTGGCCTACCGTGAGCAAACTCGGCACCCAACGCGCGGAAAGTTTTCTCATGCCTGAATGTTGATTTAATATGTGACAAACACATTCATTCAGAAATCAAGATCCTCAAACATCTTACGATCACTTCATTCAAAAACTCAATGAATTTATTACGAAATCGACTAAACTGAAAACTGTAAAAAATAAATTTCGGAAAATAAAACCTTGGATTTTAAATTACTGGCACGTTGCACAAACGAGGGATCAATTAAAAATATCGGTGAGAATGCGGTATTTTCCGTATCGTTCACGTGATCAAGTATGGTATATTAGAACTCAGCAAAACGATACACATTGTGAATAATTACTTTTTTCTTTGGTACATAGTGAAGAAAGTTTTTATCGAACGTAATACCTCAATACGTCGCGTATTCTTTTCGATTTCAATGAAACTGTTACTATTCAGAATAATGTTTTGATTCGAATTAAAAAATTCTCATTATATCAATAAGTTTCGATTGAGATTTCTGAATAGCATTGTATAAATTGTTGACATTCAAGGTGGAGTTTGAACTGTGAAAAATTATCTTCTATATTTAGGGTCTACTTTTTCCTTCAAGAACCCCGTTTCACCAAATTTTGTCATCAACTTAATGTATTGCGAAAATGATATTAAAATAATAGACGTTTTTCAACAGATCATCTGTATCATCTGAGTCAGTAAGAAATTGTACAAGAGGGAAATAGAATTTATAAAAAAAGTCAAAATATTTTTATTGGACAAAG